TGAATAATGTTATTCATCATAACCTCTCATGAATTGCCACAGGAAATAAGACATTCGATTGATGGACTGATGCTACAAAAAAAAGTAGATTATTACATGTTTTTAGAGACCGTACTTGTCCTTGGAAGTCATATGATTTAAGAAAATCGTCAATAATTTCGTCAGCATCGCTCAAACAGAGGCATATTTGTTTCATTATTTATGGTGGGCCACGGAGCTGGTATATAGAGATCAGTCAGATTGTTTTGTTTCAAAGTGGGGTTAGGTTGTAGTTGTAGACCGTCAATTCGGACTTGTAAATTTAACTACTTTAGTAGTGGTGCATTATCCAACTCAATTGTTTATTATAAAGAAAAGACATACCTTGCTTTCACTACAATTATTTTATTATTAAACGCCATTTCATAAAGGGCAAAGCTATTCATCTCAAATGGAGTTGCTTCCCCAATCTAGATGACGTTAATGTAGTATTAAATGATAGATGAAATTAAATAAGTTATTTAATTTTACCTATCATTTAGTCAATCATTTAATGTCATCTAGACTGGGGATGCAACTCCACTGGACTACGTAGCATTATTGTTTCATAAAACAAGTTTAGTAGACTTTATTTAGCCTTGGTTTGATTGTGATAAAAATTGATGGCTTTTGTGATCGAAATATTGTGGATTTCAATTAATTGTTAATTTTGACTTAGATTTTAGTAAAAGTTTTTAGCTAAAGCAAACATGAGTTTAGCCCCTGTTTGGTACATATTATATGAAATTTTAACGGTTGGAAAAAAGAAAGTGTGGTTAAAAAAGAAAAAAAAAGTTTCGGGATTACATGTAATATTATTTTATTAGAGAATGCATTGTTAATAAGAAAAGAGAGAAATTAATTATAATTTTATGGGGGCCAAACATGGGTTTAGCCTTTGTTTGGTTTCATTATTTGACATTATAATTTTTGAATAGTGTTTTTTTTAAGAATGTGTGGTTGAAAAAGAAGAAGAAATTTTGAGTTTACGTGTAATCTTATTTTATTAGATTATATGTTATTGATAAGAAGAGAAAAATGAATTATAATTTTAATGGGGCAAACGGGACTTAGTAGCATGGTTTTTCCTTCCTTTCATGTTGTTATAATTAATATTTTAGCAACATTCTCAACCTTTATTTGGGTATTGACGGCGCTCACTTATTTTAATATGTCGTAAGCAAGCTTTATTTTAATTCGAATTAATCACTAAAATTTAATGATTGGTTTGATGATTAACATGAAAGTTGCATTTATTTTTGGACAAAATGAGTTTTGGAATAGTAATTTTTTTAATAATGTGTGGTTAAAAAGTAGGAAAAAAACTGGATGTAATGCAAAATGTTTTATTGTGAGAGCGGTTGAAAATGAGTTTGAAAAAAAAATAAGTTTTAATTGAATTGTTGTCAAGTTGGGGCTTAATGCTGTAATTGTCATTGCCATTTGGGTACATTCCAAAAAGGTCAAAAAGATACGTGGAAGAATGTCAGAAACAAAGGGGTAGAAATCTATAGAAATTAATATGAAACCGCGTTGAAGGTTGAAAAATCTGATTCAGCATTCAACACAAAATGATGGTAAAATATTATTTTTTTTAAAAAATGCAGACGCATTAAAGCAGTGCACTTACCGCAAAATTGTTCCAGTCTTATTTTCACACCGTCATAGTGACTTACCTTCTCCTGCGAATTCCG